TCAAAACAATGTAGAACTGTTTATCCAATTTCTAGTAATGAAATTCAAGCTTCTTTTGATTTAGTCCACTCTGATGTTTGGGGCCCTTCACCCATTATTTCTGTTGATGGCTTTCGGTACTTTATCAGTTTTATTGATCACTACTCTCGATGCACATGGATCTACTTGTTAAAAGGACGCGATGAAGTGCCACGGGTATCCATGGCGTTTTACAAAATGGTTGAAACACAATTTGGCAAGAAAATTAAACAATTCAGGTCTGATAATGTAGCTGAATACTTTGAAAGGTCCTTGAATCTGTTTATGGAGGATGCTAGAATGATCCATCAGTCATCTTGTGCTAGTACCCCCCAATAGAATGGGGTTGTTGAGCGCAAGAATAGACACCTATTGGAGACTGCTCAAGCCTTACTATTTCAGCACAAGGTTCCCTAAAACTATTGGTCTCAAGCAATCCTTACTGCATCATATCTGATAAATCGAATGCCATCCAAGGTATTGAAGATGAAAACTCCTTTCTCTGTCCTTTGCTCTCATCTTCCAGACATTTCTCTTCCACTGAGAGTCTTCGGTTGTGTATGCTTTATACATGTAAAGGATCCAAAGAAGACCAAACTGGATCCTAGGGCTACGAAAGGAATCTTTTTGGAGTACTCTCCTACACAGAAAAAAGGGTCCTCCAACTCATGACAACAACCAATTGGACTTAGATCAACCTGTCTCAGCAGCCCCAGGTAATCCTATCACACATCCCTCTGACTTGGATCTTCCTATTGCCCTTCGTAAGCCTACCCACTCTTGTACTATCTGACACCCCATTGCTGATTTTGTGTCTTACTCACATTTGTCTCCCCGTTATTGTTCTTTTGTGTCTGCTCTCTCTTCTGTGCATGTTCCTACTAGGTATTCAGAGGCAGTATCCAACCCAAGATGGAAATAGGCTATGGACGAAGAAATGAAAGCCTTAATGAAAGCAAGGACTTGGGAATTAGTGGATCTACCGGAAGGGAAAAGCATTGTTGGATGCAAGTGGGTGTTCACTATAAAGCATAGGGAGGACGGGTCCATTGAAAGGTACAAGGCTAGACTTGTAGCAAAAGGGTTTACTCAAAAAGAAAGGATTGACTACAAAGAAACATTTGCTCCAGTAGCAAAACTCAACACAATCCGAGTTCTATTGTCATTAGTTGCAAATTTCTCATGGGAGCTACATCAGTTGGACGTGAAGAATGCCCTCCTAAATGGTGACCTACATGAAGAGGTATTCATGGATCCTCCACCAGGTTATGGGTTTGGCAGGAAGGTGTGCAGACTGAGAAAAGCACTATATGGACTTAAGCAGTCTCCTCGAGCTTGGTTTGAGAAGCTTTGTGGGAACATGAAGAAAGGTGGTTATACTCAAAGTGGGGCAGATCACACCTTGGTGAACTTGGAATAAAGATCGAGTGCCCTCTCAGGTTGTACTGTGACAACAAGGCTGCCATCAACATTGCAAATAACCCAGTGCAACATGATAGAACGAAACATATTGAGATAGACCGCCACTTTGTCAGAGAAAGAATAGTCTCAGGAGAACTATGCATTCCTTATACTCCCTCCAAGATGCAGATCGCAGATGTTTTAACTAAAGGGCTAGATACAATAAAATTCTTGGACTTACTTGGCAAGCTAAACATGATTGACATCCATGCTTAGCTTGAGGGGGAGTGTTTGTTCAGCTATCTTAATATGTTTATTTATCTCTATTGAGTCTTTAGTCTTTTGTTATTGGGCCTAATCTTATTTAGTGTTTTTTTATTTGTCTAGGCGTCCCATCACTAATCAGGGGCATTCTAGTCTATTTGTGTAACATTATGTAATACACTTATTAATAATAGAGTAGGGCCGGCTGAGAGATTATTGCCGCCATTCTCAACTCTCCTTCTTCTTCTTCTTCTTCTCTTCTCCTTCGGTAGCTTCATTTCAGCAAACACAGAGCATTATCAAAGCATTTCAGGTACAAGCTCAGGCCATTGGATATGTGCATTAGATATCAAACTTCATCACTATTTTCCAATGGTTGTCAACATCATCAAGGACCCCCCCCCCAACAACAGAATAATCTATAAAATTTTATCAGGTGAACTGAATATTTTTCCCACTATACATAACTGACTTTTTGTTCCAAGAGGAATAGTACAATTCAGCCAGGAATGGAGTCCCATTATATACGTATGATTCATAGACCTCAATGCTCCCAAAATGAAAACCCTGGATAAAGAAAGAATAATGCCATTTGTATCCTTGAGATTTGCTAGATGATATTCTTGTACCCAAAATAGTCCTAAATCTAGTCAAGAATATGCACTAATCTCCAGAATCTGAGAGGCTTAGTTAACCCTGCCTTGTTACACAACAAGACAATCAGTCCACATTTTAAAGTGTGCATAAGACATTAACTTGGAATTTGAATTCTTCTATGAAGATTGTCAAATAGATGGAAGTATCTTCTCTCACAAATAAGTCCACATGGATGTTTTGGCCCTAAATTCTTTACTGTTGCAGAATTTTTCCACAACAAATTCAGCTGGATGGCAAGGGACTTGATTAAATCGCAATGAAGAATAAAATGGTACAGTTATATATTAAAAAAAAAGAAGAAAATACATGCTAAACAATCCCAGCAAGAGAAAGAGATGTCAAGGATGGTTTGGATACACAACATAATTTCAATGACTAGCTGCTAAAGTGCACATTGTTATTCATTTTTAAAAGAACTTTCTATGAAATAAACACTTATCAAACGCAAGAAATATATTCACAATTCTTCGTTCTTTAGACCTCACAGAATCAGCGCAAAAACAGGTAGAGGAGGAGGGGAAAGAAAATCGACTCTGTGAACGTAAAGTCATTTATAGTATTGTTGTCAATACTCAAAAGATGAAAAGGAGAAACAACACATTGAAATACAATTGAGAAAAAAGAAACTCACAGATTTGGTCTGGTTTCTTCTTCCCGTTCGCCCATCCGGCGAGGAAGAACAATGAGGAGAATGAGCAGTGCTGGCAAGAGAACCAGTCAAGACCCTAGGAGCCTTCCACGCACAGGAGAGGATGCTACACTCGTATCTTCCACTGCCATCCCCTTTGGATAACTTACAAAGGTTCAAGCATTCGACAGGAACTACAAAATCACCAAACCATTGTCCGTACCAGAGGAAAGAATTAAAAACCAGATTGACCAAGAATCGCATAACGATATAAAAGACAAAAGAATCAATTCCATGAAAACTAGTTTTGAGAGAGTAGACCTACCTGACATAGAAGGAGTAGAAGCCATTTCTACGATAACGAAGCATCGGAACATAGAAATCGCATGGACTCGTGCAAACAAAACAACAGACAACAATAAACAGAGCTCCAACTGAATTGGCGGGTGGCGAACCGGAACTCCAGGAAAAGAAAAAAAGCAGTAGAAAATATTACGAACTACACAAGCAGAGCATCAAGGAGATACTCGAATACTCGATTATATTCGAAGCGACGGGGATCAACCTTCGATTCTTTCTTTTCTTTTTCTCTTTCGTTTTTTTTTTTCTTTTTCAGGCAACAAGAATTACAAGGAAATGTGTTGGCGAGTGGTGGAAGTGGAACAATCGAAGAAGACGAGTGCGAGGGCGAAGAAACAAAGAGATAACGGAGAGAAGTAGTGGGCGGGAGCGTTCAGCCTAGACCACACAAACAAACACCCACGGTCTCTCTCGAGATTTTTTTTTTTTTAATCCCTTTTTCATTTAAAATAAATAGAATAAAAGGTAAATTACATAGACATCCCTGTACTGTAGAAATATGACAGGGTGACATGTCTCTCTCGACATCTATGTATATATATTAAAACGAGGAAATCTAGAAATTTTCTCATTTTTATTATTTTTTATTTTTTAATTTTATGTCATTTTTAAAATAACTAATGAGATGCACTTTTTCAATAACCTAAATAATTTCTTCTCTTAAAATTTTTCCTAAAAAACCTCCCCCACTACCTCCACTTTCTCCAAAATTATTTCTAATTCTTATTTATCTTCTAAATTATCTCTAATTTCTATTTATCTCCAAAATTATCTCTAATTTAGTAAAGAATTTCTCTCCTAAATTATCCATAATTCCTATTTATCCTCTCCCGTACTTTTTATCTATATCCATAAAAAAAGTTTGGATTAAAAAAATTAAGAATTATTTAAATATTCTAACAAAATTATATAATAACTTTAAAGTATTACAAAATAATTATGAAATTATGTAATAATAGTATGAATTATGCTTTTATGGATACTTAAATTAAATAAATAATTAATATTTTAAAATATAATTATTTGACATATTATTTAAGTATTTAAATAACTAAATATTTTAAATAACAAAATATTTAACATAACTAGATTTTAAATAGTTAAAATAAAGAAATTATTTAATAAATTAAAAAAATCTGAAAAGTAGAAAAATAATAATAACATAATATTGAAATTAATAATAATTTAATATTTTTACATAATATTATAAATAACTAACTTCACTTATATCAAGTAATAATTCAAGAAAATAACTTTCAAAAAATAATATTTATTAATAATAATTTTAAACTCTTAATCTATATTTATAATATAATTATATATACCAAAATTAATATTTATTGTATTTCAATAATTATTTATAGTATAATTATATAAATGTATTTTCAATGATTATGTATAAATTTATTTTATTTTGTTATTTAATAGAAAACTTTCAATAATTATTAAAGATTAAACTACTATTATTGAAATTTTTAAATTTAATTTATTTTACTTATTGTATTTTTATTATAACTTATTGATTAATATTTATTAGGGGTTAAACTATTATTTAAGATTATACTATTTATTGACTAAGTTAATATATTTTTAGTACTTATTGTATTTTTGTAATTATTGCATTTTTTCATTATCAATATATTTTCAATAATTGTGTATTTTCACTATAAATTTTCAATAATTATTGGATATTAAACTATTATTATTTATCAGATATGAGACTATTAATTTAGCTGAAATTATGAGTGTTCAGGAGTTGGTTTGGTTCGGTTATAGGCTATTTGGCTAACCAAATTAACCTGGTTAAGTTGGGGAGTTGGTTAGTTGAAACCGGTTGACCTTTTGTGAAATCGACCCACTCAAGTTGTATTAGTTTGGGTTGATTTTTTTGTTTAGTGGTGGGTGTCGAATCCAAACAAAGATAAATAGTTTTGCTCCAATTAAATAATTTGTAGATAATGATGAGCAAGGTCGTCTCCACAGGGATTGGGTGGATTTATTTCCAAGTAAACAAAGTAAGGGGGTTGTAAAGCTAAGGAAAATAAGAAAATAACAGAAAATAACAGAAAGCAAAAGATCAAATCGATGGGAGATAGCTTCCGGTTGAAGGGACAAGTTCAGCTTTGATTATTATCATCGATCATCGATGCAAAGATAGATTCATATGTTTACAAATAAATTGTTTATAGCCATTAACAAGCTCTAACAGCCAGCCTCTACTCGTATTATTCGACAACCAAAACAAGCTCTTTGATTGCTTCTCTTATTAATAGACAGTCTTAAGCAAGCTCTTAGGATTTAATCTATTAATAGCATTAAGAGGGGAGAGACCCAATTCTGGTCAACTATCTCACAAGCTCGGACTATTTAAATCAGATCATATATTTTTCTAACATAGATCGAAAACTTTTTTGCAATCAATTTCTATTAGTTGCCACCATGATTGAACCTACCAATCATATACGAAACTGGAGGTTCAATCGGCCATATATTATTTTCATTGAATGAGCAAGGGGTCCTTCTTGCTTAATCAATAAAAATAATCCTCATAGTTATCACAGAAAACATATGAATACCCATAAACAATGAACTGAAATAAAAATCAATTAGATCTCACAATGTTTATAGAATCAAAGCTTCCATAACCCTTCAACCAAAAATAAAAACTTACAGACACTCCATGATGAAATTGCAGCTTTCAGATGAGTGGGGGGGCGAACTCTGCTACTTCCTCCTTAGTTGCTGATGTCTCTCTCTGAAGGCTGAAGATCTCTTGGAGGATTTGATGATGCCCTAGGTGCTAGTCCGCCCCCCTTTTTATAGCTTTAGGAGGGTGTTGTCTCCTGCTCCTCTAAGGAGTTCTTTCTCCTTTGGGAGATCAATTCTCTAATAGATAATGCTTAGATTAGATCTAGTCTATCCTTATCTCTTAACTGGTAATCCTAAACTTCTTTTATCTTTCTAGAAATACAATAGGAAATTGAATATGATAGGACTCTTTGATGTTTCTTATTCTTGCATTTGTATTGGGCTTCTTTAACGAATTAGGCCGCCGCAAGGCTTCTCTGCAAACTGGGCTTCAGTTGCGAATTGGGCTCCTCTACAAATTTGCTTGGACTTCGAGCCCAATTTTGACATCGATGCAGTCCGAATCTATTAAAACTCAAAACATGAAAGTTGTGGAGTTTTTCCTCATCTTTCCAATGCATCTTGAATCTTCTCAATCGGAGTCCGGATGGGAGAATTATGATCAAATTATCATGCGGTGCCGAAACTGTATAAAATTACCTGATTAGCCTTGTTTTTCCCTCAACGCCTTCTTTCGTGCCCTAAATCGAAATACAAGAACAGTGAGTCCAATTAGGTACTAATTAAGTATAAAAGACTGAATATTGAGGGATAAAAATATGATAATTTTTATTCTCATCAAATCGTCAATCAATTCAAAAGATTTAAACATAAAAGTTTAATTTAATTTTAAAAATTATAGTGCAATTATTAAAAAATTAGATTTATAATATAAAACATTTTAAACTAATAAATATGGGAAATTTTCCACTTTTCCATATTAAAAGTTATATTTAAAATATAAAATGTTAATATATATATATATATATATCCATGGTTAGGTCATTCGATTTTGGTCGGTTTACAAATGATCAACTGGGATCAAGTTGATTAGGTTAGTTATAAATTTAAAAATTAGATTTATGATATAAAACATTTTAAACTAAGAAATATGGGAAATTTTCCACTTTTCCATATTAAAAGTTATATTTAAAATATAAAATGTTAATATATATATATATATATCCATGGTTATAGGTCGTTCGATTTTGGTCGGTTTACAAATGACCAACTGGGGTCAAGTTGATCAGGTTAGTTGGTTTCATCAGTTTGATGAATAAACCTAACTGAAATTAATTATTGTTATTTATGTATTATAAAAAATTATTAAAAGTAGTATTTAAAATATGAATAATTATTAATTATTTAAAAAGTTGAAAATCTAAAACAATTACATACTCTTATGTGTTTATATTAGGGTCATTTACTAGAACACACCTTATAGTTTTACATATTTACTTAAACCTACCTTATAGTTTTCATTTTACTAAAACATCTCATATATATTTTACAACTTATTTACTTAACCAACCTTTCACTAAGGAGTGTTTTTTCACCATTAGGCTCATATTTTTTATTTCAAAAATACCCTTAACACTTTTTTGTACAGAAAACAAAATTGACCAAATATAGCCAATAAAGTGGTTGTTCGTGTCTTATTAAGGGCAAAAATAGTATTTTTGTTTTTATTTTCTTTTGATTAATTTATCTAAATGAACATTAGGATCAACATTATCATTTTTCACTGTCATCTAATGGAAGATTGATTAAATCCATTACAAATTATAAGTGGTGTTTTAGTAAATTTCTATCTATAGGGTAGATTTTTGTAAATCCATAAAACTATAAGTGGTATTTTAGTAAATGACCATTTCTATTATTTAGCTTTTGCTTAATAAATCCCGTGCATCGCATGGGTCCCCGCTAGTATCATATTATTATTATATTATATATGTAGACTTAGGCCTAAAGGCCAACCCAGCCCATTATCACCCCTACTTAAGGTACCAAAACCTAAAAGTCTAGTCCAAGATCGAGTCGACTAAATGAATAGAACTATCAAATTGCGTCCAAATTAGACTTGTTCATGAGTTTGGGCTTAGGCTTAGCTTTTACTAAAATTTGAATGAGCCTGGCCAGAAGCTTGAGCCTGTAAAAGTGTAAAATGTTCATGGGCCAAGAAGCCTAATGCCAAGCTTGTGAACAGGTCTAGTCCAAACCAATAGGATCTTAACCAAAACCAATCCACCCAGCCCTGTGAAGAATAGTATTCTTGTTAATGCCACTTCATCGCTTATTATAGAAGATTAATGAATATCTCATTATAAACATATGTTATCTATTGTGTCTTCATGATGACAAATACATTTAGGTTATGATAAAGGTGAAAACCGACCATCAATTAGAAATCGCCAAGTGGCAGCATGCGGGGGGCAAAGTTGTCAACTAACGAGATGATTTGGTCTTGACAAGCTACGAGCTTACCTATATTGGTGAGATAACCTAGTCCTGATGAGTTATGAGCTAACTTGGTCCTAACGAACTGATCTGACACCAACTCATAACATGCACAAGCAACACGTGCAGGCCTACTGCCTACCATGTGCACACAATGTGTCAACCAAGGGCACGGCAAGTGGACTAAGCTCCGACCACATGTGAGAGATGTGTCAGTTCTTGGATGAAACCCCTCTCTTATAAATAGGTGAGTCCCCCATTCATTTGGACACAACTGAACATGGTAGTACACTACTATGAACAAGGCATGCTAGA